CCGCCGCATCCATCGTTTGTCAAAGTGGGCCTGGCTATACCTCGAGCGACCGGAGCCGTTTCTATTCTTTCTATAGGGGCGCTCTCATTAGTACAATTTCAAACTTTAATATCTCGATTATTATTACGGATATCGCTAAACGGTAAAGGACTTTTATGTTTATTTCGATCCCATCTACCTTCCTATGGGAGATTGTAAGAGTGGGGCTGGACACCCTGTATAATATATATAATAGTTTCTTTAATTATTTTGCATATAAAATATTAAGATAGGGATTTATGTAAAAAAGTCAATAAATAAATTACAAAATATTTCACACTTTATTCTGACACATTTTGAGATGAAATAAGAAATATCTCATAAACTATTAACTTTTTGACAATCGTACCTCAATACTTTTATGCACAGAATAATAAGATGAAATAATTGTGTTGTTAAGAAAATACATTTCTTCCCATTCAGTTTTCTATTTGTTCCGTAGTTTTATTTAAAGTGTCCCATTCATTATAAAAATGTTTTTTCACCATTTTTAATTACTTTACAGTGTCTGCACTTCTGGTTGCTATTCTACCCCGTAAAACAATGCAAGATGACAAACCGAAAGATATTGTTTGATCTTTCTGGTTACATCCATCAGTTGATTTCTTTATTTGCTTTATTATTTGTCGAAAAGTAGATATGTAAATATCTTTTTGCACCTTGTGCAGTTTAATGTAACTGTCGTCGTTGTTTTATATTCGCGTTATATCTTCCATTATGTAAATTTGCACACTCATCTAGTATATGCCTATATTTTCCCATCTACTGTATTCTATATATATAATATAAACGAATAGATCGTGCGATCGTACAATGTGTACAATACACATTTTAAGTTCATCCCACGACTGTAATATTTAATATCTCATTTAATACTTCTGCCTTTAATTGTTCTAATCTTATTTATTACAATTTTTTGTTATGAGCACAACAGCAACGAAAAATGTAATTAATGCAATGTATAAAAAATGTAATAAAATTCTTTTATTAATAATGTCTTCTTCATTCTTTCCATATGTAAAAATATGTAAAAATAAATATGTAAAAATAAAAAACAAGTTATTTTTCTATTCTTTTAAATAAAAATTATTCTATTTTAAATAAATAAATGCATTTTCGAGTTCTATTTCTAATTTTATGTTTTAAATAATTTCTTGTGGCCTATATCTTATTTAATATTTTAAATTAAGTTCTGGGAACCTATCTTATATTTTTTATTTCAAATAAATCATCAAAGTTATTTTACCGACTCCTACGATTTTATATTTTAAATAAGTTTCCAAAACTTATTTTATATTTTTTATTTTTAATAGTCGTATCAGTTATTTTACCGAGCTCTAATAGTGGATACAATGCCCCCGCGCGGCTGACCCTGCAGGACGGCCGATGGCCGTCGACGTTATCACACTGATTTGGCTGTCACTAAATCGGAAATCCCATGGGTATTGTACACAATTTTGTGATTCTTTTCCGTTCTATTAGGTAAATTATATAAAGACATTTGATTGTTTATGTCTGAACTATCTAATGGGCTACGTTTGGAAACATCACCCTGGTGGATTGTCTGCAGAATTTGATAACAGCTGTGACACGTGATTATGACCGCTCTCAGATTTTTATTTAGTATATCAAACTTTTCATCATGAAGTGTATATCAATTGTACACATTCTATTGGAGCCACGAGCCAACTTACAACGCCACTTACAACGTTAGAAAAAAATAATATAATAGGACTCCCTAGAAATGTGAAATTTGCTTTGATTGACGGTGGATAATTGCATCAGTGTACAAGTGAACCGCTTTCTTTATCATGTGGCATATGCCATCGAATATATTATGCTCCCTCTGTAAGATATGAGTACTCTGTGAGGTATAAAAATAAAAAAAACTATCTGCTGTGTGCAATGTACAATATTAAATATTTTAGAAACTCTTATGTACACTGTTATAAATGTTTGTGAATTTATAATGCCCCTACAATAAAAATGCACTGTAAATTTAGAAACTATATAATGATTTTTGTTGTGATTACCCAATATTTGTAAATTTACAATAGAAATTTGTTGTAAATTTACGTGACGCGCTTGCGTATTAGAGATTTGGATATACTTTACTACAAAATGTTAGTGTAATTTCACTATACAACTGTTTAAATT